TAGGTACACTGACAATCTTCAATCTTGAAACCAAAAAACCCAGACCACATTTTCACATAACAATTTACACTTACATTGACTTACCGTAATATTTAAAAGACGATGATTGTTTTATTATCTTTCAATAAAAGATGATTTTGTCAGGTTCGTCAAATTGATAGTTTTTAGTTGTACTCCGCTACACACCACGCTGAAAACGTGCCTTTATGTGGCACTTTCAGTTAAGGGAGTACAAATCGACAGGCTGGGGGCTGACACGTATAGATGATGATGACGTTGATGATCCAGAAGGCCGAATTCCCCCTGAACGATGACCCCAGTCTGATGTTGGGCTGGTGATTTTTTTCAGTCTCTATAAAAAGAGAACATTGAAAAATCATTGGCTATAAAATAATTTGATAATGGACTCTTCGCTATTCCTATCCAATGATAATAATCATTAACAACATTTTCGCGTTCCATACCTCCAGTACGGTTCCGGATGATTTTACGAATTCTACCAACATGAACAAGGGCATAACAATAAAAGTTGTTGCTGAGATGAGCCAGCCAATGACGTGAGCCCATTCAGGGTAATCCCCGTTGTATGATGGCTTTTCCCAGTAAATTAAGCTGTACACCTGTACCACCTGTGGACGGAATACAAGGTAAAATAGTTTATATTTGGCGTAGGCTTTCTTAAAAACACTTTTTATCTAGGCCTAATATGATCATAATTGTATTTCTTTTTTTTTTCCACAACGGTAGTTGTTGGTTATAGAACAGCTAGAATGTAATTGAAATTGTAACAAAAATGTCTGAATCTTATAGGCATATAACTATCATTATTTTATCATTATAATCATCGTCATTGTTATCTTCATTACCAATGTTATTCAAATCAACATTCATTAACTTCCTTACTCATACTTACTATTTGTCTTAGGCCTAATTATCACAGTCATGATCAATATATCAAATACTGATGATAGGTCTATATATAATTAGTCAATATCGTAAAAATAATTGTATTGATAATATTCTTTTTGCCTAATTATAATATAATTATTTATTGTATAGTTTTAATAATTATTTCATCAATCATCATTATGTTTGTTAACATTATTATTATGTTAAGTTACGTGAATATAACTATGGAAAACGTAGTAAAACAAGAAAGGCAGAGGTTGTTATTACACCAGTCTTAACGAATTGCTGATCCATAAATAAATAACATCCAATCATAATTAGGAATTGATTTAAGACATGGGAAAACAATTATTCACTGCCAATAAAAAAAAAATGATTATGACGTCATACAATGAGTGCTAGTGGCGTCATAAAACACCAGCTGATCCGCCAATAGTAGAACATGTTCGAGTTCAGCCTTGATCGTCCAATCATTTCTCCGATATCGTTTTTGAATCGATCGTATCCGTACATCCACGAAATCACCAAACACTCCAGGGTGGCATAGGTAAGAATGTTGAAACCAGCCGCGTATGAATCTAAAAGTCCAATCCAGTATACCCCCGCCTGTAGTGCCAAGTTAAAAAGTAAATTCAAATTAACGGTAGTCAAGAGCCAACGAAAAGGACATTATTATATTGTGTATACAGAGAAATAATAATCCAAACAAACGACAGGCCATAAATATTATGCAAATTTACAAACTTTACTGTCGAAAATAAAATAAGCCCTACATCAGGGCATCTTAAAAAATGTATTATTTCAAAAATTTACATAATTTATTTTATTAGCCAATCATAATTCGCCAAACGACTGTAGGCCTATCGTCTGCCCTTCAGACGATATTTCTAATCATTTTTCATACCTCAGTTACGCAGATGGTGCTCGCTAGAAACATACTGCAACATGCAACTAAAAGCACCCATGCCTTCTTGATTCGAAGCTCCGGGAAAATATCAGTAATAAATGTCACAATGGTCTCCATAATGGTGAACTAAAACAACAATATAATAGACGAAAGATTAATTTGAGGTTCAGTGACGTCACGTATTTTGTGGGGCCCTGGCGCTGACTGTTATTGGGGGGCCTCACGCTTGCAACAAATTTGCAGGCGTAAGACTTTTGTTCTAAAAACCCCTCCCCTGGGGTGGGGTGTCCGGGCATCCCCCGAAATGTTTTTGTCCTAGATATCCGGAATTGTTTGCTACTTTTGGGTTGTATTCTTGTATCCACATTTTTTCATGAGAAATGCATATTTCTGTCATCCACGATCGAACCTATCCCACTGACATGAGCCGCGCGCGTGGCAGCTAGCAGTGTGTTCTTGATGCTATTGATGCAGCTACTGTAGTTTGATCTGATCTGATCGAAAAACAATAAGAGGAATATTTATTTTTTTACAGACAATTATCAGAATTTATCAACTAAAGAATACACGAGATATCATAACAAAATAAATGTAAAATTTTATGATAATAATGTAATTATGAAAGAGACATCAGAAAAAAAAATTGAATAGGCCTATCTAAACATTTTTACGTTGAAGCCGAGCTCTTAGTTAAAGATCCATGAATTCAATTTTGTTAACTACAATGTTGGGGCCCCTCGTATCTGGGGGAACTGGCGCTCCGACTCCCCGTCAGCGCCCGAGCGTGACGCCACTGTTGAGGTTAATCATTAATAATGGAGTCGGGTGTCAAGAGGGAGCATTCTATATTGTGTGGATTGGTGTGGAACGCGTGGCGTTAGATACATTAATTCCCACGGTTCACGTCAATCATCCACTACACTGTTAAACAACGTGTCAAATATAACAATACATTTGACAGTATAATTATTACTTGATTAAACAGTCAGAGCTTCATTAGAGGATGGATATTTGAAATCGACGCGTGAAAGGCATCATTAGTGGATGGACATTGGAATTCAATATTTTCCAATTGACCAATATGCACCAGGTGTTAACGCGGTAATCGCAGTTTCATTTAACATGTGATTAATACAGTTTTTGAATCATATTCATATCCACTTCATTCTTCAATTTACGCAAATTAAACATTTCAAAAATATGTTTTTTAAACATTCCTTACCTGGCTATCAAGTCCCAAAGACAGTAGCATTAGGAAGAACAGGACGGCCCATACCGGTGCAAAGGGCATTCTCCCAAGGACATCAGGGTAGGCGATGAAAGCAAGGCCAAAACCTGAATTATTATTGTTGAACAACGATAATTGCAATTATAAGATATGTTCGAAAAATAATTTTCAATATTTAAGTTAGATGTGAAATAGTCATAATTTATTATTCGTTCATTACTACAGTATGTTTGCTGTAACCTATCAGGTATTAAAGTATGACATGACATAACATCGAAAGTAGACCAGTAAACACTCCTCCCTTACACCATTTTTTGCAGACTACTCTATATAATGACTTGTATCTAAATCCAATGGGTGTTATAAACTCGGAGGGAAATCAAAATCATTTAAAAATCCCCATTTAAATACAAACAATATAAAAAATGATGAGTTATTAAAAATTTATTGAAAAATTATTAAAACTATTTAAATTAATTGATTACCGTACTCTGTACTTTGTATTAATTTTTAAATCTCGTAGGTTTCAATTAAATAATAGAACGATAGTAGTGCATTGTAGGTAGGCCTATCGTACTTACCCTGATCAACCACCTCACTGACGTCACGGCCGAGTTCGTGTGCCATAAAGCCCAGAATGGAGAAGATGACGAATCCAGCAAATACACTAGTCACACAATTGGCGATTGCAATTAAAATCGCGTCGCTATCAAAAGAAAAATAATCTACAGTAACATTTATAAACTCGTCATCCATAGTTTGCCGCAATGATCGAGGGTTGAGAGTGACAGACAGGTGACCACCAAACTATTTCAGCATTTAATTTCCTACATTAAGTTCATTTCTATTTACCGTGTAATAGCAGATAAATGCGATCAATTTTGGGTCACTTTGGAAAGTTAAAAGATCGTTAGGCCCTATTATTTTAGTATGACTGTATTATTTAATAGTTTATACACATAGATTTCAAAATAAGGAAGTGGCTATTGTTATTTCTACACAAGTTTTAAACAGATACTGAATTCGGATTGGATGTTATTGTATGTAAAAATGGATTAGTACAATAACACCCAATCAGAGTAAAGCCGTCACTTACAAGCAGCAGTTGTTGTGGAACCGGTTGTAAGAGGACAATGTAAGTAGACCACCCCAGGATGCGCTAAGGGAGAAGAAGATTTGCACGGCAGCATCCATCCATACCTGTCAATGAATGAATGAATCAATCAAACAATCAATTAAACAAACAAGCAGTATTGAGGTGTAGTACATTTAAAGTGTAATTGCAATGATATTAAGATGATGATGATTAAGATGGCACCTATGGATGGCCGGAACTCTCAGACTTAAATTTGAATATAATTTTTTTTCTCCACTTGAATATATATATATATATAT